AGCTCATGAGAAGATGAAATTCATTCCAAAAAGTAAACCAACATCAGTTGTTAGAACAAGAGAAAGTTCTAGCCAAACTGATAAATGGATTGCAAATCTATCAATTTCTGATGAAACCACCTCAAGAGAGGAATCCAGTTTGCAGGGATCATTGAATTTGGTTTCTGGGTATGGAAAACATGTTATGTTAGCAGCAGGTGAAGAAGGGGGCTCTGCAACAATGTTGATCCCTTCCTCTTCAGAAGTGGGTGGAGGCTCAGCACATGTTGAACTCACTGCAGGAATTTCAAACCCAAATGTCTTCCTTGAAACTTCGAAAAGTGGATCTTCTGCTTTTTCTGATAATTCAGGAAGAAGTTCTGCTTTGCATCCGGATGCTCTTGGTTCAGCTGATCTTTCAGAGAAATCATCTAGGCAGTTTGTCAATGAGTTTGCTGAGAGGATCAGGCATGAAATAACAACTTCCAAAGCACAAGAGATGGAAGTTACAGGACCAAGGTTGACACTTGAAGTTGGTGGTAATCAGATCTACAGCTCTAGTCAACAAGGAACTAAAACAGATGTTCAGTCAAAGGAGCATGATTCTAGTCGTTCCTCTGGGTTTCCTGGGACCAAAGGTCCTTCTGATGAGATTTGGGATGTCACTGAACCATCTATTGAACAAGGTCTAGTAGCCAAAGAAACAGAGACCAGCAAAGAAACCGGGAAAACGGTCATTGGTAGAACTGGGAGGTCTTTATGGGGTATAATTTCTGATATTGTTCGATTACGTTGGGGTTCACGTGCTGGTTCCTCTACATCAGCTGGAAAATCTGCTGAGAGAAACTCACCAAACAAGTCCGAAAGTGACACATGGTTTTCTGGGCAGGAGCACGAGGAAACCACTAAAACTAATGTCATAGACGAAACAAGTGTACTGCCTCAAGCCATGATTTCTGATAAGTTAAAACTAGGTAGTCATTCTCACAATAAACTGAAGGACAAAGGAAAACATCTTGAAATTGGATCGTCATCACTGAACATATTGGAAAGTGGATCAGTGTCAGTAGGTGCCTCTTATACTTCTGGAGAGGAAAATGCTAATTGGACTGAAGATAATAAAGATTTGAAAGCCACTGATTCTGGCACACAAAACATGGAATTACCGATTTCAATACCTGCAAGAGGGCCTCCTATTGCTGGAGAAATTGTAAGCATTGGTGGATCTGACATGTCTGGAGGAGCTGAGTTAGTGGGGCCAGTCAAGGATTTTGTTGCTCCTTTGCAGTCTGAGTTGTCTGGCTCAGAGAGAAAGGATGGAGAGTTAAAGCAAAGGAAGCTTCAACGGAACAAGCAAGTCTTAAGAGATAGGTTTGATGACTGGGAAGAAGCCTATCAACGTGAACATGAACAGCGGAGAATAGATGAAATGTTCATGAATGAAGCACTTTTGGAAGCTAAGAAGGCTGGTGATACATGGGAGGTCCCTGTTGGTGCTGTTCTAGTGCAGCATGGGAAAATTATTGCTCGAGGGTGCAACTTGTAAGTGTTGTGATATCAAAATTACTTCATCTTTTCTGTAATTGCCTTAGTTTTTATTCTATATCTAAATATCTGTTTCAGAGTGGAAGAATTACGGGACTCCACTGCTCATGCAGAAATGATTTGTATACGAGAAGCTTCAAACCTTCTTCGGACATGGAGACTATCTGTAAGTTTTCCTTGTAGTATATTTAGAGTTATTGTGATATTACACCCAAAGTTTCGTAATCATTTTTGTTTCGGTATAAATTTTAATCTCATGATTATTTTGTCATGTGAAAATATTCCACCACTTTTATGTTACAGATATCTATTGCAGGCAGCAGAAGATCTCTGATATTTACTTTCACTGAACAAGCAAGTTGCCAGTGCACAGATATTTATAAATTTGAATTAAGTTTATAAGGGAAAAAAAAATTAAACCTTACATGTTTTATTATTAATGATAATTATTTTATCATATAAAAATAAGAATAAATGGAAGAGATGAGATTTTTAAAATTGATGAAGACATGGGAGATCTATCAAGAAAATTAAACATAGTTCAAAAGCAAGGTTTATTTGCACACATGCAATGGTGATTTTTTTTTTATTAAAAAGGAAGAAATTCATTAATAAAAATGAGGAGTACAAAGATAGCAGGTTAAGATATCCTCCATATGAAAACTACAACAGCACAAAAATTAACAAGAACCAACAAAACAGAGCTAAAGAAAATCAGTGCACACTGGTGTGCCAATCTGTATGGAAATCTGAAATACCAACCCCCCTTAAAAGTGCCAGTGAGCCAAACACCAAAGAAAAGTCCAATTTTGGTTGCTTCATATCTATTGCTATTTAATTTAATCAATATTAATAAATAATGTCACCAAAAGTAATGCTCCTGTACCGATAGAGAGAGAGATTGTGACTGTAATTCCATGTTTAATCACCAAAGCAATATTTAGTACAGGGAATTGAAGTGAAAAAAAGTGATTTATTTATTCTTTTAGACTTACCTGTGGTCCTAATAGATGGATCATTTCCCTCCTTTCAATTCTTCCCGATCAGACATTGCTTGAAAGTAATTTAGTCTTCCTTGAGCAATGCTTGATGTCTATTAGTTCTGGTATTTATACAACTTGATAAATTGGTAAAAATTTCCCATTTTCAGGGCACCACACTTTATGTAACGCTTGAACCATGTCCTATGTGTGCTGGTGCTATCCTTCAGGCAAGAATAGACACTCTTGTGTGGGGTGCTCCCAATAAGCTTCTTGGAGCTGATGGTAGCTGGATTAGGTATGAAGCCAAACTGCTTTTTTTATTGCTTATGTTACATAGAAGGCTTTATGGTGTAATAATGTTTCATTAATTTTACCTAAATTTGGCTGAATTGGTCTTACCCACATTTATTTTACCATTAGTTTACCTTTAGTTTGTTAACTTAAGTTAAACTGGCCGAGACAAAAAAAAAAAAACAAAAGAAAAGAAAACTTACTGGAAAATGAGGAGGACCACAGCACTCTCAATCATAATGCATATCATATATTTGGTTTTCAACAACTAGATATTACTGTTAACTTTTTATTTTGTGTCAAATTCCTTTATTTATCTAGACATCATTGATGAGTAAGAAAGATGAGCTTTACCTACAGAAAAAGTAAATGCAATGATAGCTATATTTTTAAAATCAGACAGTTCATTGAACCAGTCAAGGCACTGATTCTGATTCCATGGCTCAACTGTGATTTAATTGGTCTTCATAAAATTATCATAATCATTAAATATTTAAACAAAAATAATATAAAAATATAATATCATAATTTTGTGATGCTAAAAACTAAAATAAAACAAATTCTATTTTCTTAATATTTAAAATCGATATAAAATAAAACATGCTATCATGAGTTAAAATGGTGTAGTATTTAGTGTTTAATATTTACCTGGTTCAAACCAGTTTTTGATTGATTTTCTGGTTCTTTTACTGATACTTCTTCACGTCATTTTTCTGGTTTATTTGAACTGTTTACATGACTGGTTCACTGATTTCTGTTCAAACCCGCAGCATGGTTTTTAAAACATAGACAAATAGTGTGTAAAGGTTTTTTTGAACTTTTATTTAATCCTAAATTACCATGTGTGGATTAGTTTATTGACTTTTATAGTAACTATCTTAAAATTTGTATCAAGTACAAATTTCATGATGATAGTGTATGTTTATTAAACACTTTTACTTGTGTTATAAAGAGGCCATTTCTGTATCAGTCCCGTTCTCAACATTTTATGTGAATTTTCTTCTAATTTACTTTTCCAGAAACTCAGCTGAGTTACATTTCTTCAATCTGAAATTGAGTTCTCTTTTGAATTTTTTCTTGTAAGCTCTGCACATGAAATGATCTTGAAAGCACAGTACGTCAAATATTACTTACAGCTCCTTGTTGAACCTTTTTTTGCAGGCTTTTCCCGGACGGAGGAGAAAATGCATCAGAAGCAAGAGATGTGCCACCTGCCCCAATTCATCCATTCCATCCAAAGATGAAAATAAGAAGAGGGGTCTTAGCCACAGAGTGTGCAGATGCAATGCAGCAATTCTTTCAGCTAAGAAGGAAAACGAAGAAAGAGGAAACCCCAAAGGACCCTTCTTGTCTCCCTGTTTCTCACCACCACCCTTCCAAAATACTCAACAAGATACATGACGTTTTCCACATAATGTTCTGTTTATAAAACAACCTGACACATTTTTTCCATGTTTTAAACGAGCTGTAAAATTTTTTTGAACTTGAATGAATATGGTCATTTGTGAAAAGTACAATGTTCGATTTATCTGGAGTCTTCAATCAGTTAAGCTGTCAAGAACAATAATCTCAGACGTTGCCAAGCCACTGTTGTCATCTTTAATTTCAAGTAATGACTTCAAACGCTTAAGATGATGACTAGAATGTAATGAATGATATAGTAAAGTCTGTCTGTCACTGTCCCATTTCATTTCTTTTGAAAGGGGGTGAATATTTGAGATCACTTGCAAGAAACATAGAGATAGAGTATGTACAACGATTAAACTGCTGATAAAACATCACCATCAATGTGAAATTCTAACCATCAAGTACTAACAGAAAGTGATTGAGACCTCGTACTTAGATATAGGTATGTGTAGAAAAGAGTAGGTGAAATCATGTTCTCATTAACATGAAACTTTTTATTCATTCCATCCCTCCTTGCTACCCAACCTTTTGTCTAGGAAAATGAGAAATAAGAAGCAAGTTAGGTTAGGTCATGACAGAAGTCTAAACGACTAGGACCTGGGATTTCAAGGGTCCCCCTGGATCCAAGGGAAGCTAACTTGTTAGATGATTAATGTGTAAATGATGTCACAATCACATGAAGGCTACATCCTTCCTTCCACAGATAGTTCACTCCATACGTTTCAACCTCGTGCTTTTCAATAGGTCATATATAAGACAAGCAAACTCTCTTCATTCCAACCACATCACAAACATTCAACATACAATGGCTGTGGTGTTCTGGTCATTGGTTTTAGTGTGCCTCTGCTTCCAGCTACCTTCCAATGCCCAAGCACCTGCAACTGTGCCCCCAGTGCAGTTGCCACCTACAACCCCAGCTGCAACATCTCCCTCTTCTACCACACCACCGGTGGCAACACAGCCACCAACAGTGGTGGCATCCCCTCCCACTACAACCACACCACCAACAACATCCCCACCACCTACAACTGTAGCTCCTGTGACACCACCTTCTCCCAAGATTGCACCAGCTTCAAGCCCCAAAGCCCCACCACCCCAAACTCCACCACAACCACCAAAACCATCTCCTGTCTCACCTCCCACATCACCACCCCCACTACCGCCACCACCAGTTGCTACACCACCACCATTGCCGCCACCAAAGATAGCCCC